GTCAGTTGACAGCTCCGCCCCTCTCTTCACCCCAGTGTCCAAAACATGCAGCCGCAGAGCAGAGAGACAACAGCAAAGCCAATCATCAAACTGCGGCCTAGGGTGTCCTGGTGCCAAGAGCACATATGGACATCTTTCTGCTTGAACATGGTGTTCATTATGGACAATCCATGACGAGCACAGAAGTCCAATAACAAAACACCGCTCAAAGAAAGAAAGAGTTTCTCAAAGAGAAACCAGAAACTCAAAATAAATGCCAACAGCAACAGCAAAATAAGCTGTTTTGAAATGACAGAGAAGATGGTAAATCTTTCAACCCATATACTGCTCATCCCACAAATGCATGTTCCTTAGACATTTAATAAGATAACATTTTTTTGTTCATAGTACTTTTCATTCTCATAACTTTTTCTCTTCTAATTGCATCAGCTGATGTTCATAGATCCTGCTGGAAAAGATGCATAACACTCATCTGTAGTCTGATTTAGAAATACTGAAACAACTGCAGGTGCCAAAGTGATCACAAACAGCAAGCAGGACTGTACAGACTGTCATTGTTATTTCAGCTGGGGGGGTTTGAACTGGCAAAAACGGAGACCTCACTGAGAAGAATGACGAAGGAAAAAGACAAAGACATCGAGTCGTTGTGCTACTTTTCTCCTCAGATGCTTAACGACATCAACCACCGCTACAACAAAGAATGTGAAATGTACAGGTCAGCATTCTGATAAAAACTGTAAAGTGGTTAAAAACTTGCAGGAATTTTTTTCTGTTCCTTCAACTGAGTATGGTTCTCTAACATAATCCTCAAAAGTATTTTGTACATTAATCCATGTGTCTTTCCTCAAAAGAAATGAGTGTTAGGATGTGTTTCTAAAACTGATAACCTGTTTAAATAATTCATCTCTTCTTGTTTTTCAGCTTTGGAATTGTCCTGTGGGAAATAGCAACACGTAAGAAGCCTTTTGAAGGTGTGTATCTGCAGGGCAGCACTTTGATATGTTACAACAAACAGATATTCAGTCTGTCCAAAACATCAAATTGTTTAAATTACTTTGGTCTCATAGATTTATAATATTTATTTACAAAGTGCCATGAACTCCATATTCAAATATAGAGTGGTTTAATTATGGACCATTATTCTTCCCCATGGTGGGTCTATGACACTATGTCCAGCCAAAGAACATTGCTCTCATTTAGACCAGGGGAACCAGGTGTCTGAATCACCTCTTCTAGGATACTATCCTTAAACACCAACACAGTCAGGTAATCTGAACCACTGTTTATCAAGCAGATAAGTTACAATTTTTCTGATAACATACCTGATAACGTCTCTCTGTTGTCTCGAGATGTGTGGTCCCTACTATTTTACAACCTCTACTTGTTGTTTATTACAGCCATGTGTAACGTCGACGTCTGGCGTAATTATGCTTTGTGCAGCCTGGTTGATTCTCTCCAAACCAATAGATTTTTAGCGACATTTTAAAAGTTTGCCCGAAATTCACAGTACAATTGGATGGAAACATCAGTACTGTAGTGATTGTTTAGATGCTAAATGGACTCTATTTGTATAGTGTTTTTCTATCCAAACAGGATACTCAAAGCACTTCACACTACAATCTGTGTCCTCATTTACCCATTCACACAGCACTCTACTAGACCTCACTTCATAGCTTATACAGGTAAATCAATTTCCTGGTTCTCTCCTGTGTTCCTCTCTGGGGGGTGGGTGGGTCGTTCTTGCTGCGAGGGTGACCTTGGGGGCTCGGTGCTTGGGGTCTCTCTCGGTGGCTCTGGTCCCCCTTATGTCTGCCTTGGGTGTTGGGGGTCGGTTCTGTGGTCCTCCACAGTCACTATTTAATATTCCACTGGAGAAATCTTGTATTTATATGATGTTCACAACTGCACAAAAATAGGCATTCGGATCCTGGGGTTTCTGACGATCACTGAATTTATATATATGTATGTATATAAATATGTGTGTGTATGTGTGTGTGTTTATGTATGTATATGTGTATGTACGTGTGTGTATATAGCTATGTGTATATGTGT